AATAAGAAATGTAATTCTAAATAGTGTCTAGTTAAAAAGTTTATTTGGATATTTTGTCAATAAAACGCGTTGATATTTTAAGAAAAAAATAAAACAAAAAAATATTTTTTTATTGGATGGAATCAAGTATCACTTTCGTGAAAATTAAGATTTATTGAAGTAAAACCTTGTGCGTTTATAACTTTAACATCAGAGGAGTTGTAATAGTATTAGAATGGTCTTTTTCTATTTATAAGTGTGAATAATATAAACATGTTAATATTGAAGTTTGTATTTCAAACTTAATATATTCTTATGTCTGTTACGATTTACAAGAAGTAGAACGGAAACAAAAAAAGTAACGTTTCCTCTTTGTATAATACGTAATTGGTTTTGATAGTATAATTCAACGATTTTTCGCCAATGTTCCTCTCAACATTGGTTAACGTCTTTCATCCAAAATACTAAATGAATGCTATACGTGGGTCTTACATAAAGTTCTGTACGGTTTATCTCATTTAAAAATATTCATAATTGAACATTTAAAAAGCGCTCAAAAAATTTTGTTGTAGTGACAACACATGTTTTATCGTATTTTTGATAAACGATTTTATTTGATACTCAGTTCGGAAGGGTTGGGGTGCTCATTATACTATACGTATAAAAATGTCGAAAACGGTGTTGTAACAAACATTATTTTTCATTATTCAAGTATCTTCCAAAACATCCAAGCGCTGTTGAAGATATTTGCAAAACTCTTGGGTTTCCTTAAGGAGTTGTTGCATTTGTCTTTTGTACGATTGCTTCTTATTATTCCTTGAAATGTAACTGGAGTTTCCGTCTGTCCTTGTTGTAAATTTATTTTTCCAATGATCCAAATCAACTTGTTTTTTACCTATCTTAGGTTTATCTCTCTTTTCGATGACAAGTTGATAAATGTTGCGCACCAAATCTTTGGGTATCCTTTCTTCTCTGGGATCGTTGGGCCTGATATAAAGTGCCCAATGGTATTGCGACTTTAACAATAATGCATGACCGTAAAGGAAAGCTAGGACCTTGTTGGGCAAACATTGCAATAATCGTGAAAACAGCAGGCTTTCAAGATGAGCTACGAGTTCCGCTTGTCTTACTAATCGATCTAAACCTGCACTTTTTTGTAATCCTTGAATGTCACTGACAGCTAAACCCACCATCAGATTACTCAAAACGAGCGTGACAAGGATAACGAATGCCAAAAACATTAAATGGCTAGTTATGGGGTAAAGTATGGGGTAGTCAGTGGTCGCGTAGAAAATATCTTCAAATTCTAATTCTCCGGTCATCATAATTATCGTTTTTAATAAACCCCAATAGGTATTCATGAAAGATGGATAATTGGCGAATAAAACTCCAAAACTTAATCCGAATGCTATTAAAAGGCACGAATAAGCGAAAAAGAATTTTGAAAAATTGATCGTGACAGTGGTAAACATTTGAACATAAAGTCCGAACATCGGAAATCTGCCCACGATCATCATGAGTTCAAACCAGGCGAAGAAAATACCAATGGCTGCCACATGATGTTGCCACGTGGTAACGATTTTTCTTATGTTCATTTGATTCGTAGGGCTTACGCTAAGGTAGATTGCTATTACAGTAGCCCACTGTAACCAATTTTCCCATTCTTTCACATAGACAATTCTACCGTGGGACAGTTGAAATATTTCTTTGAACATGGTGACGACGTTGAGGAATAATAAAACATATCCACAAACTTTTGTCAGAATGTAAACTTCGCATTCACTGAACGGGTCTTTCGTGAAAGGACAGTCCCTCAGGAACACTCCAATGACGTAAGCTGTGTATAAAAATACTGAGAGGGCATTGTAGAAGAGACCCAAGAAAAAGAATTTTCTTATTCTTTTCCACTTCAAATGTAGAAATGTTTCGCAAAGTGGATGTTGTAGAACCTCCCTGTGGCCTACTTCTATGAAACTTTATTGTTTTAATCCAATTATTTTAACGAAATATGTAAAAGTATAAAATTACTTTTTCTTATTTTATAAAACACATTCAATAAGAAATTATTAATAAAAAATATATTGTAAACAAATACCTCTGCTATTATTAATTGCAATTTACTCACTCTTTAAAAAATCGTAGTGATAATTTTTAATTGACTAAACTAATGTTTAATAATGACCTAATCCTAATCAGTGTCGTCAACACTTTAGCGTTTATAATAATTTAATGATTAAAATAACGACAAAAAGTCATGTACGATTTATTTCATGAAGCAGATATAAATTTAGTCAATTAAAAAAACTCATTAATACGTTTTTTAACGTATTTTTTTATCGTGTGATTAAGTAAAATTGTAAAATGTTTAAATCTTTTTATTATCGAATAAATACAAAATTGCAATACACTATGTAAACATTAATTGTGTAAAAAGCATTCCTGATAGTATATACTGAACAATTAGTTGATCTGTTTCTCTAATCCAATGTATAGTGCTTATCTATTCTTGTTTTATTGTGTTTTTATATCATCATTTCCTTCCTTATTATCGTCTTCATCTTCTTCCACTTCTTCATTGGAACTTCCGCTTTTCTTAGTATTTTCTTTGCAATTGTTATTTAAATTAAACAAATAATCTTCTTTAACTTCCACAGCTTCGTCTATCATTTTACGTTTGGTGGTTTTCGTAAAAAGATCACTCAGTTGGGAATTACATCTGTTTTCTAATTTTCTCGTAAAGTTTTTCTCATATTTGGCCAGGCAGTGTTGTTTTGGCTTTGCGTCCTTGGTAAACTTAAAGGAAATAATGTCAACTACTATATAACACTTGCTTATATATATTGATATAAATATATATAGAAACCATTAATTTATGGATTTGTTAAATACTTCAACAAAAATTGTAAATAAATGTAATCAGTTGAGATAGTTGGTTTTTGTGGTACAACTGTGTTTTGCTTGTTATAAATTATAATGTTTTTCATTTTTAATTATCTCTATCTGAAGAAGAGGCAGTCTGGCTGAATCAAGAGCACCAACTTGTAGAAAAGCCCGTGGGTGATCATGCTATCTTCATAACTCATCCTTTTATCATTGTTCATTTATTTTTTTTTTGTACTTTTTCTTTAAATTAAATACAGCTTAGTAACTGCTGATTTAAAATAAATTGATCGTTTGGATTGATTCGATTGAATTTAATTGACTGAACACTGACAGTAATCGCGTAATCAGGAAGTGCAAGTGAATTCCTCACTTATGATGGCAGATGTTAAAAATACATTTAAGATAAACTAATAACAATTAACGCCTCATTAAAGAAATAAATATTATTCGAATTAATTATCATTCTATTTAAAAAATGTTGCATTAAAACGAACTAGAGGTTAAAAGGGGTTCCACGTAACCAAAGTTTAAGAATCTCTAGCAGTGTTCAAATCCTCATCGTAGTGTTAGCGTCGTGACAGTAGATCATGTTTTAAATATTTAAGTACGTACCTGGGATTGTCGTTCAAAAAGTGTTGGCATATCATTAACTCTACCATACATTAACTCCATGCGATGTCTGTGTTCTTCATTCCTCATCCGTTCCTCGTCTTTGCGAAGCTGAAGACGCATGGCCAAATCTCCTTCGGTGTTAAAAGCAAGATTTTGCCACACCGGCTTCTTCCTCAAAACTTTTTCCCGCCATCTGATCTCGTCTCGAAGTTTCGCCTCCTCTAACCTCCTCACCATTTCTTCCTCCATTCTTCTCCTGTAAGTAATATTAAAGATATAAGGTAATGCGTCTATATGTATAGCCCCTGGGGGAACAGGGGGAGCGGATGGAACTAATTTTTCAGAACACCAAAAAAGAGTTTATATTAGGGATGGATACGTAGAGGCGAGGGGATAGAGCTGAAAATTGAATCCTAACACAATCTAACATAATAAAATATTAACTGGAGTTATAGCTGCCAAAATTTGGAATTCCAATTCCAATTTTCCCTCTCCACCTCCTGCGTTTCCACGTTTCCTACATCAAAGAGAATCATTTGTTTGGTGTTCTACAAGATCACATGCATCCCCTTCACCCATCGAACCCTCTATCAAAGCAAAGGTTCACGCATGGCTAAATTTACTAAATTCAATTTTGATTAGGTACAACAGAAAGTTAAAAATAAAAAAAGTTTTTGATGCTTTCTTAGCTGATTGGATCCTTAAGACGGCTGCTAGATTTGAATAGTTGACCGGTTGTAAATCTGCAGCTGATTTTGGGCGTAAGCTACTGCTACTGAAACTTTGGGCAGACGTAATCCTCGATGAAACAGTTGAGGGTCTACTGCTCTGAAAGGAATAATTTAATGTCATCGTCGAAATCGCTTAAATAAAATGATGTAGTGTAAACCTTCTTCTTTTTTTTCTTGACTGTTTTTGTATTTGATTCCATGTACTCTTGAGCCAATTGTTCTAGTTCTTTCTCCAAACATTCCTTCTTATGGTGTGGTATAAAATGAAGGCATCTTCGGCAAATATCGCTATCCTTCAAGGCATTAACAGATTTGAGAGTTTTTGGACAAATTTCATGTTTTAGTCTCGTCTTTTCTCGTTTTGCCATTGAAGGAGGTAAGGAAGATGCTTTAAGCATTTCTTCAGCCCTAATCTTCTTTTGCAAACACCTACAAGAACAGATAAAGAAAAACAAAATTGGAAAATATTTGTGCAAACCTATAAAATTCATCTTCGTTCATCTTCTTGTAAATGTAATTGCTAAATAGATTTTTGGGCACAGGTTTTGCTCTAAAGGGCTTTCGTTTTTTGGGTTTGTCACTCAGGAATATACTGGGCGATGATTGTGATAGCAAACATTTCCCCATTTCCCTTACTTGTTCCTCCCGACGTGTGAACGAAAATGGTTTCATTTGGGCTAGAAGACTTTGTCTGCTTTTACTTTTAACCCTTTCCCTTCTAAAAGAAAAAGAGGAATCGGTAATACCCAAACACTAATTTGAATAGAGAATGCATTTACCTTCGTTCTTGTTCTGCCATTATTTTATCGAATAGAGGAATTCGCGATTCTATTGGGATTGGATGAGCTTTAAACATTTGTTGTTTATCGTCCGATTTGGGTTTTGGTTTTTCTTTTTCCAGAATTTCGTTGATTATTTGAGTCTCCTCGTCGCTGAAAGAAACAGTAAAGGCAAAAAATACAAGAAAAAGTTTCTTTATCCCTACTTGACCGTCATTTGAAATGGTTTTGGTATAGTTATACCATTACTCTTCCACCCCATTGGACACTTATTTCTTACTGGACTATTAGGAGCGCTCCTCGATGTGAATAAATCTCTTTCTGAGTCTGATTTGTACTCATGGATACTTAGATCATCCCAGTAGTGATCCATTTTGCTTTTGTAACGAGTACATGAAACGTTTGACGATCTACCTTTTGGAGTAATAAATTCGTCGAAATCATCTTCCTTTTTATGAACAATTTCATCTATCTTGACTGTTCGTCGTGAGTGTTCCTTTTCCATGGAAGATAATGATTCAATATCTGAGTTCTTCAGAGAAAACTTTTTAGTAGGAGTAGGAGTGACGCAGAAAGGTTTAAGGGATGATTTTGGTCTACTTGACTGGGGTTTGACATTTCCAATAGTCATGTCTTTGTAATCGTTTGTCCACTCAGTCTTCTTATTTTCGAATTTGATCCCATTTTGCATATATTTGTAGAACAGGCGCTGCTTCTCGCGTAAATTATCAAGCTTCTTATAAAATTCATTGTTTGGAAGATGATTTACATCATCGTATTCGGGAATGCTGTCGTAAAATTCTAGCAAGGATTTTAAAACAATCTTTTGTGAATCGGGAGAATAGGATGAACGAATCTTTGTATCCATATTTTTGATGTCTAACGCATACTTGCGAGGTTGATCCAAATTTTCGAAATACTCTTGTTCATAAATAGGAAACGGGTGTTGATTTAAAGGGTGTCGTGGTACGTTAAGACAGGAAGTATTATAAGTAGCCACTCTATGTTCGGACATTTTACAGGGGTAATACTTGTTTGTAATTTGTACTTAGCAACATAGCAACGCTTAATCGATAAGATATAGTTTCACTTAACTACATTAAATTGAAAAGTTCATTTTATTTCAAAGTTAAAGAAAATATTTGACGCTATTATTATGAGTATGATCAATTAGGTACACTAAACGGGTTAAAATAATGGAACATTATCATTTTTAATAAGCGTTTTATTTTAGTAGATACAATCAGCAACATATATATATTAACTTGCTTAAATTTTATTAAGCTGACTAACTGATGTTTATCATTTAACTAAAAGTATATCATCGATAAATTGACTGTTTACAAGTGGTTTGGAACATAGCTTGAATCCACTCTTACTGATAACATTTGGCAGACATATTGGATTATTATCATAGATGTAGTTTGAAAACTTCCTTATCTATGTTTCAGTTTTATTTTTGTTTGATGAACATAACCTCTTGTAATATAACCTCAAAAAGGAAATATTAGTAGATATTATTTTGTTGAATTCTTGTAAGTTTTTGTGTAATACACGATGATTTTAAGAAGTGTCGGACTGAGAAGTATCTCTAAGGGGCCTTCTTTAATTAGGTCAATTTTAATTGACTTAAAACATTTCAGCACTGATAACATTCAAAGGTCTCATTATGATATAATTATTGTTGGAGGAGGAATGGTCGGTACTACTTTGGCTTGTGCTTTAGGTAGAAATGTTTAATTAAGTCTACGTTTTTTAAATTAAAGGTATAATTGCAGGGAAAAACACCAAACTTGCTAACAAGACCATACTCTTGTTAGAAGGTAGCAAACAGTTTCAGTGGGAGCCAAAAGAACAATACAGTAATAGGGTAGTTGCATTAAATTTAAATACTAAATCTCTTTTAAGTAGTATTGGGGCGTGGAATCATATTGCAGCTGTAAGATATGGTTCGGTTAAAAGTATGCAAGTAAGCTGCATTCTGTCCATATTTTAGAATGGTCTTTTTTATTTCATTTTGTGTAATTTGTGAAGGTATGGGATGCAGTTTCTGATGCTATGATTCAATTTAATCAAGATGATTACTTAGATAATGTAGCTTATATTGTTGAAAATGATTTATTACTGCACTCAGTTAACAGAGAACTCGCTCATGTTCAAAATGTGAATGTTCTTTATCAAGCCATAGTAGACTCTCTTAAGTTACCTGATGTAAATAGTGATACATCAAAAGTGTTGTTAGAAAATGGAAAATCCTTTACTTGCGATTTGCTGGTAAGTTTAATTAAACTTAAACTAAAAATTTTTCTTTCTCTAAATTTTTTTTTAATAAGAAATGTAATTCTAAATAGTGTCTAGTTAAAAAGTTTATTTGGATATTTTGTCAATAAAACGCGTTGCTATTTTAAGAAAAAAATAAAACAAAAAAATATTTTTTTACTGCTTTTAAAGTAATTTAATATACTGATTTGACGGAATTCCATCCGCCCATGCTTTTTTTTAGTTACACACGCCGCACTCTTTTGTGGCACTCTTGAAAATAAAAATGTAANAGGAATGTCCTAAAATTTCGTATCCAAAAGTAGGAACCCAACTATATGTAGTTTTTGCTTTGTAAAAGGCACCCTTCTTTTATATTTGAAAAAGTACCTACCTTATTTATATTTGATTGTATCGTATATTTTAAGTAGGTATGTCTAAATAAAAGCATAACTATATTATTATATTTCAAATTTAATTTAATAAAATATGCATACCTGCTAAATAAACATACAAATGAAAGTATAACATATATCGGAAGTACATAATAATACATAACTTTTAGTACAAATGGAAATTGAAAAACTTTCATGGTGAATTCTTTTATTAGATCGTCTTCGTTGTACTGTTTTAGGCTATTCTATAAAGCCTTTGTTTTGAATCTCAAATCATCAAACGTAGAAATAATAACAATTATAATCAGTTTGCAAAAGTTTGCATAACTAGAAACTAGATAACAACAAAAAGTATTACTTCCGGTGGGTTTGAAGCACTTTAATATATTCTTTTCTTGGAACAAAACATTTTTAATATTAAAATAAAAAAAGAAACTTCATTATTGTTTGAAAAAAGGGATCTACAAGAATGCCCTCCCAGTAAGTGTTCTTTGTTCCTATGTCATGGTTTAAATATAGAGACAAACTAATTTTTTTTTTCGATATTTTTTACTCCTTTCAAGACTATTTTCTTTAAAACCCGACTAGAATTTATAGGGGGCATGCTCCATATAGTGTGCTGGTCTCATGAGGGGTATGCCGATATAGGGATTTCCCCGTAAATTTCTCAAGAAAATCCAACCAAAAAAAGTGGTGATACTAAAATGAGGATTGCTTTATGAATTTTTTCATATGGGTTTTATTGGGAAAACCTATCACATGTGTAAACTTAGAATGAAATCTACCTTATGGGGGCTCGATTAGGCACATCCGTTTGAAAATAATCTCGGTAAAATGAAAAAACTTATACAAAATTATAACAATCCCCTTGCCCAATTATGTCGTCGTTTCAATGGAATCTTTTACATTTGCAACGAACCAACAAGCGTACTTCCTGATGTTGTTATAATAAGACAACTGAAACCAGACGCATCAGGTCGAACAACAGTAAAACGATTGAAATTTAAAGTATTATTGACTACAAAAAAGCTCAATAACACAGTCTTACTTAAGTGCAAATAAATTTTACAAATAAGTGATGTATGTATATATTCATTAATAATAAAGTTCATTTTTCCAAAAATTTCTAATGGGGGGCAATATGCCCCTTCCTTGCTCTGGGGGGGCAACCTCATGGAGCCCACAAGAGCTAGCGTGGCTACCCACTTAGGGACCCTACCTGGCCCCCCTTGAAATTCTAGTCGGGAAGTCATGATAAGCTCGCATTATGACAAAAAGTTTCTGCATTTAAGACAACAAGTATCAGATCATTATTGAAATGAACAAGATCAATACTTCACACACAAGACCAAGACAGTGAAAAAGATGTGTTCGTCTTTTGGTGAAGATTTTATAAATAATGAAGTGGTAGAAATTGTAGACTGCTTATGAGTAGAATACTGTTCCGAATTATTTCAATTAATTTAATGCCTGTGAATATTCAACCAATAGTGGATTGGTGTGAATTACAAAAGTACTGATTACGACATTTTATTTTGAATTTCAATTAATGTTTGACCAATATTTGAACGCAATTTGGAATTTGATTTTATTTTTAATAGTTATGGCATATTAATTGCATGCAGTGTTTACATCTTTATATCTAACATTTCTAAGGATGTCTAACGTTAGACATAATTGCATATGCATGCTGTAAACATTTACTGAAGATAACTTTTTCCTTTTATAACAGAATAAATATTTAATCCATAGTTTAACATACAGTATAGTAGAATTGGCTGATCTTGTTCTCTATTTCTTTACATTCTTTTTTGAAATATGTAATAAATTTATTTGTTTTAGTTTATTTTTTTGGTTGTTTCCCTACTTTTCTTTCTTTAACTGCCTGAATGTCTTTTGAAAGTAGACCTGCATAGTCTTGTGACTGGCTCTTGTTCTTCTTCTCTGTCCTTCAGGTGATGGTAGCTCGGAAAAGTCAAATACTTTAGAGTCAGTCACCAGCGAAAAAAATGACACTATTGTATTTCCAGAGGATATAGTCGTGGATGATGATGGATGTCGGACACCTGACCGGGGTGTCGGTACCTGCACCCCCATTAAACAATGTGCCCCGATGGTACAATTCCTTTTTAACATACCCAAGCCCATTTCACAAAAAAACGCTGACTTTATTAGGACGTACTATTGCGGTTATGACAGAGATTCCGTCAAGGTGTGCTGTCCTAAGAATCCTATAGTTGTAACAGATCGGGATCAACCTGTTACAGATAACAGAATAGATCCACCCGATGTGACCAATCACAGGAATATTAATTTGGTTAATTCCGATCTCTGTGGACCCATGAATCAATTCGATAGAATTCTGAATGGAAACAAAACATCTTTGTTTGATTTCCCTTGGATGGCACTTCTCTCTTATCAGATTGGTAAATTGATATCTTACAATTAGAAATTTTTGTTGTTAAGTAGTATTTTGATAAAATATATTGCGTTAAACATTAGATATACTGTGCCATGTACACTGAAATACTTTGTTTGCTTTCGAAATTTAGTGAGAGAACCTACATTTTGGTTGTTATAGAAGAAGGTCGCCTAGTTTTGAGCAGTTGTCTAATATTTACCATAAAATGTTATATTATATGTGAATAAGTTGATCGCATATTCAGTTTGATAATAGCAAATATCAGTAGATGGCGGTATAGTGCTCATACCTTGATGAAATGATTCTAGTTGAAGCACAAAACATGACTGTTAGCTATTTATATGCTTATTAGCGATAAAGAGTTTTATTTAATTCACATTTAAATTATTAAAAGGGAAATACTTAGAGTAATAAAGTGTTTTTTGTAGTTTGGCAGAGATATAGTTGAAGAATAAATGTGTTTTAAACAAAAATTGGTACATCGGGGACGTTTTTGTTTTACTCATGTGTCCTTAAACATAAAGATGTTTAAATGTTAGTTAGGAATGTCCTAAAATTTCGTATCCAAAAGTAGGAACCCAACTATATGTAGTTTTTGCTTTGTAAAAGGCACCCTTCTTTTATATTTGAAAAAGTACCTACCTTATTTATATTTGATTGTATCGTATATTTTAAGTAGGTACAAAATAATTATTAAAATACCTTCTTATCACACAAAAAGGTTCAGTAACAAAAGTTTCCAAAAGTAAGTAACTTTCCTTTACGGATTACCCAAATTATATCGTAAGTTAATTTTAATTTCTTATACTACAGGAAGAATAAGAGACTTTCGTTGTGGTGGAACCTTAATCAATAGTAAATATGTTTTAACTGCTGCTCACTGTGTGACTAACTTAGGAACTAAACAACTGTAAGTTTCTGCTAGTTTTTTATTAAAGTTTTAAATACATGTATTATTTTTAAATAATTCACCTTATAGGATTGGAGTACGGCTTGGTGAGCACAACATTGACACGGCTCAGGATTGCGAGGACTATCAAGGAAGAGTCATTTGTTCTCCGCCAGTTCAAGATTTTGCAGTCGCAGAAATATTAAGTCATCCAGATTATAATACAAGGGAATATACAAACGACATTGGTTTAATTCGGCTGAGGGGTGAAGCTAATCTAGAACCAGGTATAAATAGATTGAAATTTTGAAAGTATATTCCGACTGTTACACAAGATTACATTTAATAATTACTGCAAGCAAAACTTATTTCGTTTTCCTTAATTGTTTACTAATAAGTATAAGAATATGCCGGAGATTGATCGTTTAGAACAAGGATCGGCAAGTAATTTTTGGTAGGGTTCAGAAGCTTTTGAAAATTTTTATTAAGGTCAGAAAAAACATATTCCTTCTTCTAACAAATGATAAATGTGGCGCTCAAAGCTTAAATATCCTCTGTTAATTATAGAAAATTATTTTTTATATAACTTATTTCAAAAAATTTTTGGCGGTCTAATTTTCGACCTTCCACGGTCTGGATCCGTCTGTCAGTTCCCAGGTTTAGACGCATGAGAGCGTCTTTATATGTAGAGGAGTTAGTAATGAAAAAAAAAAAACATTTTCTTTTGATTGCAGAAAATGTAAAGCCAATTTGTTTACCAACCATTAAACCTATTAGTCAAATGGACCTATCCCAAATTAATGTGACTGTTACAGGTTGGGGTGTCACAGAAAGAGGTAAGATATAATAAACGCACAAATATATTTTTAAAGTTGTTTTTGAACATTCCTCCTTTTCATTGTAATTTGTATATTCAATATCATAAAATTCACGTAACTACTAGCTGTATAAGTCCATTCGACCTTTAGTTGAAACCAGTATTACTTACAGAAACGCCTAGACGAATGAATAAAGGTGGCTTTCCATTTTATTTCTTTTAGGTACCAGAAGTCCTGATTTATTACAGGTGTTTCTTCCAGTTATTGACCAGGAAACTTGTAAAAATACCTACAAAAATTCAGCAGTGCCAATAACTCATAAACAGGCTTGCGCTGGCGGTAAGAATCAAAGGGATTCTTGCGGTGGAGACAGTGGAGGTCCCATGCAAATTCCAGCGGCTTATCAAGGTGACGCGAGGTATTTCCAAGTAGGGATTGTGTCGTTTGGTCCCAAAGTTTGTGGTCGGGAAGGATTTCCGGGAGTATACACTAGGGTAGCACATTACATGGACTGGATATTGGACAATTTGAAACCATAAAATGATTTTTGTTACGATAACAGACTTCCGGTGGAAACAAAAAGTATAAGAACCATAAAGGGCTTTGTGAGATGGGTGCCGTGTAAAGGTACCTACCGTTTAAGCGATGATGATGCCCAGAAAGTGCTTTCAAATACTAGAAACAAAGACTTTTAAAAAATGTGATCTCTTATTATATATATTATAATGTTTTATAAATACACATTTATGTGTACCAAAACTAAGTAGTAGTAAATTAAAATGAACACTTAATTATTCGTTTATTTGTGACCAATCACAGG